ACCCTAAGAAATCAATTGGAGTGATGAAACACTGATGCTCCTCTTGACATCCAACTGTTGAGCCCGTACTGATGCTAGCTCCCGCTGTCAGAAACGCTCAACTCTAAGGAAAATGTCTTCATCTTTTTTTATCCCAGCTGTGTCAATGAAATCTAATTATTGTGGGTTACTAAAATGCTTTTTGGTATTTATGAAGACAATGAAGCCTATTTTGAGTTCCACTATGTAGATACTGCCAATGTATAAATGGTAATTGGACAGAAAATTACATCCAGAACTCCAATGATTTTCATCCTACATTTTCTTTCACCTAAACAAAGTTCTGAAAAACAGCTTGCATGCAGCTACTTTTGTATAATCAGACAATTATTAAAATACAGAGATGGTACCAGGCTTTTTTTGCACAACCATCTCAAGAAAAACAGATGGTGCTTCTGGATTGGCTAATGCTATTAGCTAGTTTGTAACACCAGCTAACAGTGTGCCAAGTTGCATTGCTTCTAGGTATTCAGCTTCCCACACTGCAATTTCTTTCAGAAGTTTAAGATTTCCTCCTTGAAAACAATCTACAAATTTTATTGTAAGTTAATAGCGCAGTTTGTAGAGCTGTTGCCTTGCTGGGTTCGATTACCGGCCCCGGTCTTTATGCATGGAGTTTGCATGTTCTCCCTGTGCATGCGTGGGTTTTCTCCAGGTACTACGGTTTCCTCCCACAGTCTAAAAACATGACTGTTAGGTTAATTGGCCTCTCCCTAGGTGTGTGAGTGTGTGTGTGTACATAGTTGTGTGTCTCTGTGTTGCCCTGCGACAGACTGGCGACCTGCCAGAGTGAACCCCGCCTCTCACCCGGAACGTTAGCTGGAGATGCACCAGCACCCCTCCTGACCCCACTAAGGGACAAGGGTGTAAAGAAAATGGATGGATCCAGAAAAATGGTTTTAGCATTTTCATCATATTCAGTGACACTGCACCAAGTCCAGTACCTGCACCTGGATCCACCTGATTTCTTCCTTTACATTATTCGGTCTTTGTAAAACAAACCAGTAAATGTATTTAGATCAGGGTGAGTCCGTCCTCCAGGGCCGGCATCCTGTATGTTTTGGTACCTGATGGAAGTCTCTACCTCCTCAGCATGTCAGTGTTCAGCAGTCATCATTTGATCCAGGTGTGTTGAACCAGGGAGAAAACTAAAATATGCAGGTCAGCGGTCCTTGAGGACTAACTTTGGACACCCCTGATTTAGATGCAGGTAACCTTAGAAAGTCGGAGTGGCTGTGGAACAGTGGCATCTTGTTATTCTTGATAGGCAGCACAGTGTGCAGGTTGTGGGTCTGCGTCGTGTCATAGTGCTGAGGGAACCTGCTCTATATGAATATGAATGGTATTCGTTGTGAGTGCACAGGCGTGAGAAAATATAAATCATCACTTTATGTTTGACTCGATCTGTGTTGCTGCTCAGACAAAATAATCTCAGATCAGCTGCTTGTGTTGGAAGAAATCATGAATTCTTGGAGTGTTTTGGAAATCTGCTTTGCTTTCCCTGTTTTTCTGCTTCTTCTTATTTTATTTTTTTTTCAGGGCTCAGTGGTTAGCAACTGTTTGGCAGGTTGGAAAGCTCAAGTCTCATTCTGCAGGTGAAGGTTTAGACAGCCAAAAGTTAGAGTCTGGGGATTTACTGAGATGGACAGAATGAGAGGAGATGTGAGATCTGCTGCATTCCATTATCTGACAACTTTGGGTTTTCATCCATTAGAAAGTGTTGTGTTATGTTTCTGTTTGCGTTACTTAAATGTTTAAATGTTCATTACAATGATTTGACGTAAAAAAAAAAAACAACTATAAATCTGTATAGCTTTGGACCTCTTTAGTGGCATTTTGTACATATTTTTCCCTTCATGTCTGTTATTACAAACACACATACATTTGTGCGGGGGGTCAAACAGGGTGACCCAGATTGATTTTACGAGAAGCAGAATGCAGTCAGCACCATTACTAACATGGCTTCCCCATCCAAAAGAGCTGAAACAACAGGCTGCCAGCCATGTGAGTGGGACTTTATGCAGCATAGCATCAGTCTGTCAAGGTGGAGGCACCCCCCCATCTCAGCTGATTTGACACAGTCAGGTGAAACAAGTCGAGCTTTCTGGCAAAAAAAGTTTCTTTTTTCTTCACTGTGGAATCAAGCCTGGGTTTGAAAACTCAGGGGGTCGGGTTCAGGACAAAAACAACAAAACAAAACAAAACAAAAGATAAAGGAGCTATGGCCGAGAAAAATAAAAACTTCCTATCGTCATTTAAAGTGATAGGAATTGAATATTTTGCCTTCTTTTTTAACACAAGTGTGTTTTATGTGAGTTTAGAAGGACAGAAACACAGTTACGTTTAAAAAAAAATAAAAAAAAAATATGTCAAAGGAAACAGGTCGGAATAAATAGCAGCAAACAAAACAATTCTCCAAAAAATAAAAGTGGGAAAACAAGCAGGCAGGTGAAGAGGCTGACAAATCTGGCAGGCAAACAGACTGAAAAGGACTGAAAAGGACTATATATACACAAAGAGAGAGGGGGAGAGTGGGTGATGAGACGCAGAAGGCTTCAATTGGGACAAAACATAACAGTACAGTGGTGAAAAACAACGAAAAATAGAGAAAAATATTATATCGGAAAAGAGAGAGTGAAGCACGAGCAGGTAGAGGTTGATTCTGAACTTGCCTCTTATTTTTAAATATTGCATGTGATTTTGGGAAGGGATTAGAAATGTTCACATTATTTATCATTAACACAAATTCCTTTTATTGCAATATGAATTATGAATTATTGTGACAATGATTAGCTCTTTTTAAATGTGTTTGCAGAGCATTTTCGTTTGTAATTTAGCTATTTATTTCTATTGCTGATACCAAGAGAGCAACAATAAACATCAGCATCATAGTAAATCTGAATAGATGCAGTTATTTTATGCAACACTTAATGTAAATGATGAGTAGAAATTGTGGGGCTTTAACTGTAGAGACATGCATTAAAAAAATGACTCCAATGAATGTAGAATACTGGTTACAAAAACACTCCTGATGATAATAACCATATTTCTATAGTTATGTCAGCAGATTGGCGTTTTACTCATAATGACCACCATTGTTTAGTTTCTTTTGCTAACCTGTGCAGCTTAAAATGCAGATTATTTTTTATTGATTTCTGGTCTTAACACTATCTGGATTATTCTTTTTGCTGTGAATGATTGCAACAATATTTACATGCAGCATTAATTATTGTATTGATTTTTAAAATATCATTAATAAAAACAAAAGCTTCAATTCCTGCACATAGAACCATATCATCTTATCATGAAAAAGAATGAACATTTATTTTTGTTTTTCACATCAGTAGTTTTTTTTTTGTCTTTCTTATCTTTGTTGATTTTTCTTTGAATTTCTACTCAGAAATCTGTGAAATCATAGCTGTTTCTATGCTCAGCGTCCGAAAACAGACTTCAAAATTGTCTTTTTCTTCTGGGTATTTTGGACAAACAACAATAATTTGCAGATGTTAGTTGTATTTATGTTTAAACGTTCGTATGATTTTTCTGTGGAGTGTTATTTTTGGGTCACACGTTGTATTCACACTTTGTGAATAGTGTTTCCAAAAGTATCTGGATTTTTATCTGGTCGTCAAACTAACAAAACACATACAGATCTAAACTGATGCAGTGAAGTAAGGCAGCAGGACTGTGAGATATTTTTGCTCCTGTTATTTGGATATACTGTGTTTCAAAATGATCAGAATAAGCTTTGCATCAAAGAATAACAAAAAAAATGCTGCTAATAGAGTGCTGTATCCAAGCATGGTACTGGAATGTTAAGTGGAAGGAAAAAGTATGGAAAGCACAGTGAAGGGAAGTTACACAAGGCGTGAGTTGGGGCTGAAAAGTGCATGGCCTCAGCTTTTGGTAAGAAAACATTTCCAAATTGAAAAAGTTTTCTTGATATGTATTTTACTTAATAAGAATAAAGGTTTGAATCTAAGTACAATTTTACTCAAGTTAATGAGATGTGGCTGTACATTCTTTGGAACTTTTTGGCCAAATCGTTTTCTTTTGGCTCTCCATTCATCGATCCAGACAGTATTTGTACCTGCTTCTCCTTTCAGTGGATAAAGTTTAGATGAACATTTAGAAGCAAAACAAACAATCACTGCAATTTGCGAATGACAGCCTTTGAAATCACATGGGGTTTAATTACATCAATTAATTTGTTTAGCCTTCATACATTAAATCATATTCACTCTAAATGCTCATGACTCACGTAGGGGCTGATATTAAAGAGCTCCAAACATTGTACCCATTTTAAGGCTCTGTGCTTGCTCTCCTCCTCTCATACATCAGCTCACAAGTGACATGGGGGACCGCTGCCAGTGTGGGGAGATGAATGTTTTTTCAGCTTGTGCACATGGCCTGATCTGTCTTGCTTCAGCTTCTCTTACATCATGGCACGTGCCTCGGGGTTTTTTTCTCTTCAGAGCAGCTCTGTATTTAGGGTGTGATTTACACTCAAACATACACACACACACACACACACACACACACACACACACACACACACACACACACACGCACCGCTTGGGAATGTTCCTCTGCTTCAAATTGCAAGCAGTATTATCATCTTCCTACACTTCAATGTGCCTTTAAGGATAGCATTCAGGGAGGGAAGTGGAAAAAAAAAAACCTCATGAAAGCAACCATATAAAAGACAAAAATGGACAGAAAAACAGACCAAGGCCAGGGAATAATTTATATTAAATTATATTCGCCTGAAGATATTTATTTTTTATTCTTAGCTTGTCCTCCATTTCACTGATGCCATTTTAATCTGCAGCTCAGCAGCCCTTTAAGTCTGGCAGTCGACGCCCTACGGATTCGTCAAAGAAGGATCCACCTGCAGAGGGGAGGAGAACTGAGAGCTGTCGTTTATTTCAGCCTTTCTCTTTCTCTGTCTTTGTTCTCAGGTTGTTAGAGAACTCGCTGCTCAACGCAGAAGTGAAGGAAGGAGAGATTCTGCCTCCTACCATTCAGAGGCTGATGAAAGGATACAACAAGTATCTCAGGCCTTTCTTTGACAGTAAGGAAGCAGCACAGACATGCAGATGTGGAAATGACAAAACAGTCAGAGGATGGTGGTGTAATGGAGAATGGGAGGAGTTCAAATTGTAGAATTGTGCTTGCATGTCCTTGCTGAATATTTCATGCCTCCATTCATACACTCAAATGTAATTGAATTCTTTGAAATCCAGGTGTAAAGAAAAGAGAATGCATTAAAACGGAAACACGCAGAGAAAGGTTCTGGCTTTGCAGATAAAAATGTTTGAAATGATTTAAAGGGGCAGCTTTATGTAAAAATTTATTTTATTTTTTTATTTTTTAACTTTGCGTTATAATATTATTCCCTCATCAAAATCATACCTGGAGTTTTGCCTTGGTCTTTTCATGCATGTTTGAGAAATCCTTTAATCTCTATTGGCAACCAATGGGACTCTCTCTTCTCCTTCAGACTAGCCAGCAGCAATTAGCAAACATCTGGTGGAACTGAGCATCTACTTATTATATGAATTACCTCTGAGAGCATCACTGGTAGGATGGTTATTAAAGGGTTAACAGAGGAGCTATGTTGTGATGACTTCCTGAAGGCGAAGTTTCAGACAGAGCAGCAGCTTCCCACAATTTCAAGGTGTTAAATTACAAAGTCATATTTTAAGTCATATTTGATATATGTAGCATTTTTACGACAACTGAAGTTAACATAGTTACTTGATTGTGCTATAAAATGTCTGTAGAAAACATAAAAATGCCCTTTCAAAATAAATGTTATTTATTAAAGAAGCATTATCAGATACTTAAAACTTTAAATAACTCCAACCTTTAATTTTAGTTAATTTGTTCAGCATAATTTCTGGCAGTCCCACATTAATAATGCAGCCTCTTCAGCCAATAAGGCAGCACTTAGGCCTTTTCTACAGCATTTCACAATGTTGGCCCAATAAGGTTGGAGCATAAAAGGAGTAAAATCTTTGGCCCTTATGTTTGGCACAATCTCTAGATGATCCAGAGTTCTGGTTACTCTCTCCTCTTCAACTCGCAAAGCAAGTTTTCTACAGGATTTGGGTCTGTGGACTAAGAGAATCTTGGCAAAAAGTAAATTTTATATCCACTGAACCATTTCTATGTTGATTTGACTCATAAGCTAAGCGATCTAGCCATGAACCACTAACAGTTTACTGTTAACATCCACCAAACTAAAACTAATCAAACTAAAAAATACATTTTAAAAATTCTTACACTAGATTTATTTTTATAAATTATTGGGGTTCCCTACTGGTTTTTCTTCTGGGATTTTGTTAAATAACTATTATGTCTTAGCACAGATTTTTTTGTGTGTGTGTGTGTGTGTGTGTGACTTTAGACCATAATTGAGCTTTTAGGCATTGACTAAATCTCAAATTATTTTGCTAATTAGTGAAATAAAATTTTACAAACCTGTCATCAGTAGCTCCAGATGTTATATTTGCCTGGTAGGAAAAACAAATCTGAAGTAAAAATGAGTGTGAACGTCCAGGGGAATAATGAGATTCACTGTAGGTCTTTCTATTGTATTATTATTTTTAGCCCTGATAAAACAGCACCAGATCACTGCTGTTTTCTCCTACCAAGATAAAAGCTCTGCAGCAAATTGACCGATACTGCAGAGCCTGTTAATACAAACACAAATAACATTGTGATAATGAAAATATTCATTAATCTAGCAGTAAGTTTTCATGTAATTGTGCTTTAAAAATTAACATTTTCACTGATAGTTGGCATCTCAGATAGAAAAAGAAGACATATTTGCAAATAACTTCTAAGTCTAAATAGACCAGGATTTTTGGAAGCAGTTTCTATTTTGACACTATAGACTTGGCATATTTGTTCTTGTATGTTTCATGGCCTTCTCTTTGAAGACCATAATAATGTACCACTATCATTCAAACACATTTGACAGAAACACTTGCAAACCCGTCGACATGTTAATGTCAGTGTTGTGTAAATGTGTAGTAACAGTTTTATCTTTGTTTTTGAGATGGTCCTGTGACGGTGGGAATGAGTTTGGACATCGCTAGCATTGACACCATTTCTGAGATCAACATGGTAAGATACTCACTCTTACATTTGATGGATTGTTGTGGATATTGTTGTTTTGTGTTTTGTTTCACTGCGTCGTAAATTAAATTAACTGCAATAAACCAACAAAGTGTTGAATCCACAGTGCTGGCTCTTTTTAGATTTAAGATATCAGTATTTTCACATTGTGGATTAAAATAACATTTTTGCTTTCAAACCAACTATAACAATGACATTTATGCAAAAATCAAGACTACACTGAGTCTAATTAAGGGGGCCACTACCACACTTGTACAAATGTATAAATGGATAGATGGATTTAGAAAAAGATCCGTTGTGAATATTTTAATTACTTGATACATTAATATTTAAGGTAAAATGAAATAGCTAAAAGTCCCATGGTATAGGAGCTGCAGATGTTTACAGTTCGGGTGGAATAATCTCTTGACAGTACAACTATCACTTGAGCACTCCCCTAATCTGGGATTTATGGAAGACTGGCAGGAAGAAAACCATTGTTAAAATAAAGCTGTGAAAGTCCTATTTTCAGTTTGCTGCAAGCCATGTAGGGGACACAGCAAAGTTTGTGGGATAAAATGCTCTGTTCAGATAAAACTCTGTTCAGACATGCAAAATTATATGTGTGCTGAAGAAAAAAAAACTCATAGAAACATGATGTCACTCTGGACACACCATGCCCTTCATAAAACTATAGACTGTATCTGAAGGCTACCTTGCAACAAGCAGCGCTAAGCATACAGAGCCACACTGCAATAGTTTACGTCAAAGCGTATATTCATGTGTTAAAATGACCCAGTCCAAGTTCAGACTCACATTGCATTGAAAATATGTTGCATGGTTTGAATATGGTTGTTCTAAGATCCAATCTGACACTGAATTGTTTTGCAAGAGAAAAATAAATTGATCAAATATGCTGTAAGTGGGGCTGAACAGATATGAAAACTACAATTTTCAGATTTCCGTCTGTTAAATAAAAAAGAAAAAGGAAATATTGCATCATTCCCTTTAGTTATATGAAGTAATCATGTTTGGCACTCTGAGTGTTTTGCACAGAAAGTCAGTCTTGTTTTTCAAAAACAAGACTGAGCAGACCTGCTGATTTGAGGCCCTGCTGTGCATAATTGTGGCCCCAGGCACAGAGGGGCCTCCAGGAACCGATTTCATCCACACAAATCAAGCAGCCAACATGACTGCCAGCCTGTTATTGACATGCCTGTTAAAAGTGTCTGATGAACTTGTTCTCCCAATTCCTGCAGGACTACACAGCCACCATATTCCTCCGCCAGCGCTGGACGGATGAGCGCTTGGTGTTTGAGGGCAACAAGAGCCTGAGCCTCGACGGGCGCCTGGTGGAGCTTCTCTGGGTGCCGGACACTTTTATTGTTGACTCCAAAAAATCCTTCCTGCATGATATCACAGTGGAGAACAGACTGATCCGCATCTTCCCCAATGGGACCGTCCTTTATGCTCTGAGGTGGGCTAACAAAGAAGCATTGTTGGTCATTCGTTTTGTTTCGATTTTTCTTCTTCTTCTTCTTCTTCTTCTTCTGCTCCAGCAGATAATAGAAAAGTAGGCCAGGGAATCAAGAAGAAACAGGCTGGGGGAGGAAGCGTGGGCTGAATTTGAGATAATGTGATTGCAACGCTGGGAGTTATATCACACTATTACTCGACTATTGGATTGTCTGAGTCCACAAGCTCTTGATGTGTGGATAGTGTGAGCATCACCAAGTCCAGTTTGGATGTGTAGCGCAGATATTGTGCTGTATGAACGACACGCCTTTGGCAGTTTGTGCCATTCTTATTAAATATTCTCAGCCAAGTACACATGATGCTCATTTTCCAGTTATATTTGATGTGTGAGTGTCAACGCGACAGTCATGATGCTCTGAATGGGAGAAAGAAAGTACACCATGTTCCTATTTCTAGAGTCTTATGTTTCAAGAAATGCTAAAAGAAATAATCTGATTATTTGAATTCGGCTTCAATTCTACACTTTGATTAGTGACTATAAACACGAAGGGACTAGGAGAAAACTATTGACTGAAAAATAAGTACAATGTTTATTTTAGGAGTTGCTGTGTAGTTCAGTTTAAATCCAATAAGAGCATTTTATTTTTCTTCCAGTATCTTTCTGAAAAGATGTACTTAGTTTCACAAGAAGCTTTTTCCTTTTGCCTTAGTTTAATTTATAATTATACTGAAAACACATGGTGAGTTTTTAGTTACTGGAGGTTAGATTTAAATAAGAACTTTGTTTGTTATTCTCTGATACTTAAACCAGGAGAATCTTAAAGGGATGTACTTTCTATTTCCCAACACTGCAGATATAGAAATTATCAATGAAATGCAACAGCTATGACTTCAGTTTTGACTCAGACATACATGTTTTAAATAGATGGAAAACAAACCATGCCAAAACAGGGTTGGATGGTGAGTATTAGTGTGTGTGTTTGGATGGTTTACCCAGGTGTCTCAACATTGTCCCTGTGTGCAACAAGCCTTATCTTCAAAAACAGAAAACGTGAACTTTCCCCGTCAAAGTTTTGATCAGTGTTTTCATTCTTAAGACCCGTGTGCATTGAGGACAAGATGACTCCATTTGAAGGCTGATCGATGCTCGTCTCCCTCTGGTTGGCTCTGACTTTATGGGCCGTTGCTTTTACACAGGAATTGGTGCTCTCGCTGCACCGCAGTGTGACACAGGGAGCGTTGAGGGAAAAGCACTCAACAGGACCAGCTAAAATAAAACAAGCAAAAGAAAAAAAGGAAAAGGAAGTCAGGAGAAGCATGGCAACCTCAGGGGATTCAAGCTGTGAAAGGGGACAGAGCGAGGTGAGAAATGTATGATGCTGGAGGAAAAAGGAAGAAAGGACAGCTATGCTGAGTGTTTCACTGCTGGCCAGGAGGGAAAGAGCTACAAGTGTCAGAGTGACTGTAGTGAATCTCCCAGCAGTTTAAAGGATTTTAACAAGGCCCCTTTTTTAGATCATGTATGTCCTTTTATATGTTGTGGTAAGATACTGACAAACATCAAGTTAAAGATGACCAAGTTTCATCACAATAAAACCTTATGATGGGACATGGATGATGAAAGCTAGAGTCAAAGTGAAGAAGTGGTTTGCAGTGGGAATAGCAGAAAGTTTCTCTGTAATCACTGATTAACGCTGCCACTTACTGGTCCGTCCTTCATTGCAGTAACAGAATTTTGCTCTGAACAATTTACAAAAATCTAATAAGCTGAAAGATTATCATAATAAAAAAGTTGCTTTTAATCAACATGGTGGGTGTTAATAACTTATAAATCTATTAATAACATATTGTTATATAAATAACATCGCTCATTGTTGTAAAAAGCTTGGTCGAGCTTTTTACATGCTCTGTTAACATTCTCCTGTCTTTTCCATTTTAAGGGTATTTAGTCTCTCTTTCAGTTATTTTTTATTTTTTATTTTTATTTTTTTTTTTTACCAATTTTGGCAATTAAAAGTTTCTAAACATCTTGGCCAAAGGAAGAAAAAAATCCCTTTAAACCATGTGGATCGTTGTAGGTTTCAAAAAAGACAATAAGATGATTTAATAAAAATATTGATGTATTTTAAGGCTTTTTTCACATCATTACCAGAGATGCCAGGACCTGCAGAGGGCGCTGTGTCTGAATGCAGTTATTTCTGGAGGAAAAGATGAAAAGTGAAGGCCTCCAGATATGATGCGTCATGGCTGCATTATGTCATCCATCGCAGTGTCTCTCCACGCCTGATAATTACAGATCTAATTAGCTGTATAACATCTCTGTGGTAACATATTGATAAATGCCAGAGGAATCCCTAATGTGGCTGTTATGAATAATGTGATCTGCTTGTTACTGTTATATAATTAGGATCAATTTGGTACTTCTGTGTTTTTTTTTTTTTTATTAATGTGCTGTAAAATTACATTTTGCTTTGAATTTGATACAATTTGCTAAAACGCCATGGGATTCATTTCTCATTCATTGCATCTCATACGTTTCATGTTCTGTGGTAAGAATGAGAGCCTTTGATGAGTTTATCACTGATCAGTGACGCCAACTGTCATCCCTTCAAATGTAAATATGGATTCTAATAAGGGAAAAAAACATTATTCTTTTTCTTCAGGATCACCACCACTGTGGCGTGCAACATGGATCTGACGAAGTACCCAATGGACAAGCAGACCTGCACGTTACAACTAGAGAGCTGTAAGACACTTCACTCTTTGTTAAGAACATTTGAGCCATGCTCCTGGAGCCAGGGGCAGAGAGTTGGTGGGTGGGTGTGATTTCAAGTGAATGTGATCAAAACGAGGGATCAGACACATCACTTTCTCTCATCTTCTACATTGCTTGCAAAAGCAAGTGCAATCTTTGCCTGTGTGTGTGCAAAAAAAACAACAAAACACTGATGTCACAGTGCATCAGAAGCTGGGACATTTTAGGTAAAAATGGAATAATCTGTTTGGCACTGGAACAGCCGACTCTGATTAAAAAGAAAACACACAAACACAAAGCCAGAGGGTTGTGCTTGAAAATTATCTACTTTGTTAGTGAAGAGTTGCTGAGTAGAAAAAGTACAAGCTGCACACTTTCTGTGAAGCCTTAGGAACCCTTTAAACCTTGACAGAGCGTGAGGCTTTTATATTACTTTAACACGGATAAAGCACAAACAGTGTCTATCCAGCCACACCTTCGCTGCCTTGCAGCAGAGTGCGTTCTCACACTTTGTCTTGTTTCAAACACAAACCTCAATGTATTTCACTCAGGCTTTCTGTGACAGACCAAACAAAGAACATAATCCTCCATAAGTGGAACCATCAGTAGACACGGTTTTGAAACTTCTGAAAGTATGGGATGCATTTCTGTGTTCGGCTCCGCTTTGTGCTGATAGCCTCACATGTCATACGGTGCTTCCCCGTCCTCCGCCTTAGAGACAAGTCGAGGAGGGAGCTGAGTGTAGAGCTGCTTCGTCTCTGCACCAAGCATAGCATGGCGCTGTGGGGCTGGTGTGCATAAATGCATAATTTTTAATTTATGCATTTTGCATGAGAGCCAGAAAGTTGTGTATTCATATCATATAAAAACACCTTCTTTCATGTTTTGGTGTGAAATAAGCATACCAACTCTAGAATAAAAGCGGAAGTCATGTAAGAAGTTGTATTGGTTTCTACAGTGAAATGTGTCCTGAACCAACACAGGCTGAAAAGCCACTCTGAGTGGAAGAAGCCATTACTTCAGAAGCAGCACAAGAAGCTGGATTAAAGTTTGCCAATGTGCTCAGGCATAAATTATTTTCTTTGGTTGCACCATCATGCAACCTACGATCCAACATATACAGTTCTAAAAGCAATTCTACCTCATATTTGTGAAATATCTGTAAACTTCTGAATTTGAAGAAAGTTTTATTCTGCAAAAACACAAATTCTTACCAAGTGTTTCTGGTCTGGTTTGCAGTTCAATTACCTTAGTACATGAGTATATTTTAAGTCAGTAATTTATTAATATTGATGGAAAACTATTAGTTGTAAATGTCTTGTTATGAGTGAAATAATCTGCCTGTGGAACTGGCACTTTATTCAATGCTAAGAAATTATTTACTTAAAACAAGCTCTTAAATCTTGCTGAAAAGTTACTAGCAAGTTAGTTTATTATTTTTCAGGTGTGCAAACATACTTGGTAAAATTTTGCAGAATAACAATTCTTGAAAAAAAAATCTTCCCCTTATTATTCTAACATTTACCAAAATAAAAAATCAAATTTTTTACCCTAACTGCTTTATAACAGGAACAGTTTGGTCTAATTGTATTTGTCTGTATATTATATATGTTTTTTGGGGTCATGAATAAAGTAAAGAGTACCTAAAATAAAAAAGTTGTTATAATTGAAAGAAGGTTTATTCTTTGGTGACATTGTGGATATAAACATGTTTTACATCTTCCTCCACTTTCTATTCCCAGCTTGCTTTAGTTTTTTTGTTTTTGTTTTTTTCTGTAAAATGACAGCCAGCCAGACTAGGCTCAGTCTGATCCCTGCCAGAAGCCAACCAAACCCTCAGCTCCACACAAAACCTTTACCTCAAGCTCCAGGGCCACTTAGCTGACAGAAAGACATTTTAAGGATAAAGTCAGGTAACTGAGAGGTGGGTTCTTCCTCTGGACCCTCAATAATTCTTGGCTAAATATCTCTTTCTTATCTTTTCCTCCCTCAGTTCTGTTTCTATCCCTTCCTGATGTTCAGTTTCGGTTCTGTATCACATCCTGTCCTCCTCTAGCTGTCCCGGTGTCTCTTTATGAAAATGTATATCCAAGGATTTATTTCTTTTAAAGCCGTGCCAGAATTGGATCCTCTGCGCAGGAGGGAGCTTTAAAGGCAGTGCTGTTGTGGGAGTGTGTGGGGTGTTTAAATTAGGATGCAGTAAAATATTTAGTGCTTCTTGGCAGCAATAGACATTAACAAATGCCATTCTTTTGTAGAGCTTGAAATAAAATGTCGGTGCTGGATGCCACCTTTGGCAAAGTCTGTTGTTAGAATGTGGAACCGAAGGGCCGACTTTTCCATGTCAACGTTTAACTTCCTGTGTCGTGCCAGCGCTGCAGGTCAGAAAACTGATCAGTTCTTCCTTTAAGAACCTCGGTTAGAGACAAAACTGATTTGTTGAAGGCATCAAAGTCAACCGTACCCCACATTTAACTGCTCATCAGTCCATGACTTTAGATTAAGTAAGGTGAAGACCCTCGCCACACATGAAATGCTGAGGAACCAAGTTCATCAACAGACCAACTGGCTTCAGCTTCATCTTTTCATATGGGTTGGTTCAGGGTGAACAGTGAGAAATGAAGCATCATTTCTGACAGGGGATTGCAGGGGTCCAAACTACGGTTCTTATTCTCTTACTCCCTCTGCAGACACATTTGGAAAATGCATCTGAGACTTTTAACCTCATTAAATGAGCAAGTCTGGCTTTTAGAACTGAAAATCAACCACATGATGGTTCCTATAACCTTACAATATTAGACGCATATGCTGCTACAGTAAACCCTTTCACACATGACTGTGTTCTCTTTGATCATCAGATTTTTTCAGGCCTTCTTTGAGCAATAATTAATCGGGTTATCTCAGTTGCGCTGTCTGCATGCCTTGTCTGTTTGTGTTATGGTACGAGGTAAGAGTGATGCTCCTCACCAGGATCTTGTTGCACTTTTTTGTTATCTTCTTTGATTAAGTGAAGGAACAGAAGTACATGCATGAGCATCCCTTTGAACGTTTCCACACTCTGTCACATCACAACCACAAACTCCAATGCTTGTATGTTATTTAAATTTCAGGAAAGAGATCATCACAGGGGAATTCACAGTTGTAAAGTAGAAGAAAAAGTGCACAATATATTTAAAGAACTAAAAAAAATAAAAATAAATCTGAAAAGTGTGGCATGCATGTCTATTTAATACCCCAGGATTCAGTGCTTGCAGAGCCATGTTAAAGGGTATTTCTCTGCTTTGCATTTCTACAGACTAAACTTTTTTTCTTTCTTGTCTTTACAAAAAAGCTGAAACTGAGTCAGATTGGAATCAGTGTTGCAATAATTTGTATAGCATTTTAAGTCATGTTTTGGTCTGAACTTTGACTAGGACATTCTGAAACATGAATATCCTTTCATCTAAATCATTCCAGTGCAGTTTAGGATTATGGAAATGTAAACTTCCACCTGACCAGCTGCTAATGTAAGACGTGATGTTGCTTTAAAAGTTTTGAACTCTCATGGATTCACTTTTAAATGTTAAATGGAGGTCTGCTGTTTCAGAACTTCACTTTGCTTCCCTCCAACGTCTTTCTTGTTGCAGATATTTAGCATTATGCCTAGTTTGCCAGGCCCCCACTGTGAAGCTCCATTCCTAAACAACCGAGTCTTAATAAGATCAGAACATTGCACAGCTATTAGCCATTAACATTCCCTGCTGTTTCTCTCATTGCCACTTTAGGCTTTAGCAAAGGAAACATCAGTTATTCTGTTGCTGTAAAATCCACATCTGTAGCACTGATTTAATGCTCATGTCTCCATGTTCCACGTTTCAAAAGGAACTGCAGTTATTTAGGTGCGTATAAACAAATTCTTCCACATTACAAAGTGCAAACCAACATATTTATTTATTTATGTGAATTTAAGAAAGAGACATTTGATGATGTGATATTCCAGCTCAGACATAACAACACAGATACCCTATGAATAAAATGAAGAACCACGTCACACATTGTTGCCAAAAAGATGAACAATAAAGTCATAAAACAAAGAATAAAAACAAGGGATTAAAAAATGGTCTGGCTACATTCTATAGACACACAAACTTGAAAGAAAAGATTTAATCTCTTTGCTCTTTTTCAGGGGGCTACAACATCAACGATGTCATGTTTTACTGGACCCGAGGAAATGAGTCTGTCAGCGGTTTAGACACCCTGCAACTGGCTCAGTACACCGTGGAGGACCACTACACATCTGTCTCAGAAGCTATCTACGAAACAGGTGAGAAGGGAGACAACATATCTGACTAATGTTTGAGTTTGGTTTAAAAGAAGGGCCTTATCTTTGAATATTTTGAATTATATCACTTAGGTAAGTTTTTCTAAACTTCTTCTAAACTCAACTGTGCTTTAAATTGGCATCTACATTCTTTCTTTCATGGCTGTTTCTTAATTTTTCTCTCGTCTCTTGAAGGCCATTACCCGAGGCTGGTTTTCCACTTCGAGCTGAAAAGGAGCATTCTCTATTTCATCCTGGAGACGTATGTCCCCTCCAGCCTGCTGGTGGTCCTCTCATGGGTGTCCTTCTGGATTTCCTTATCCTCTGTTCCGGCTCGAATTTGCATAGGTATTCATCAAATCTGACTCGAGAATATTTTTCTATTATGTCTGACAATTTTCCAGCCAAACAAAAATCTTTCATGATATTTTGAACTGTTGTTTTAATTAAAAACTAACTTATGACAAAAAATGTGATGAGGAACTTCTTTGAACTCCCACCGTTCAGGAGTTTGTGAATCACGTTGCAGCTTAGACATACAACTTATTTTGACTCTGGGCGTTGCAGCTCCTCTTCAGGCAGTCCACAGCCCATCTTGAGTGAGTGAAAGGCAGTGGCTGGATGGATGAATTGCAGATGCATTCAGGTCAAATCTTGGTTTAAGTTTGAGCTCAAAGATCTAAATTGATTCTGTTTGAGCTAAGCATTGCAACCCTGAAACCCACCTGACTGCTCTCATTCTAACCTTTAAAAGCTGACAGAATATTAATCATCGGAGCACATGACAGTCAGCTGAATCTTTCATGATGTCTGTTGGTCCTCGTTCCCTGGGAATTGTTGGTGTTATATTTTAGGGAATTTCATTCAATTTCTTTTACTGTAGTCGTGCTATTTGAAATTTTATGGCCCTGTAAAAAATAAACTTTACACAAGGTTTATTTTTTTCTCGTTATTGAACATGATCCAGATGAACAGCTGAAGGTTGGGGAAGTGGGATGGATCCATCACAATCAAGCCAATTTTCAATCCGTCTTGCTTGTTTGCTATAATGAGCTAAATTATCTGTTTAATGTTTCATCCACTGACCACCTTAATTCTCTTTAACACTTTGTAAATTGTCCAATTTGCAGAGTTTAGACAATTAAACTATAATTACCATAATCCTTTCATGATTGAGTGTTGACCAGACACTATAGAATATCTCTATGCAATCATGGGAAAATGTATAACTGCTAAACACCAGATGCGTTTTGTAGACGCCATCGCTTTCTGCCACTCCGTCATAAACATTTCATCAGTATAAATAGATAATTAAAATTTTAAAATTAAACTTTTATAAATTAATTTGAGTTTACTTATTCAGGAACATTAACTCCATAAAACTCCAATGTACCAGATTTAGCCCCTGGCTTTTTTTTTTTCTTACATTTGACTGAAACTTTTACAGCGTTGGTGTTAAATTTATTGCATATTTTAAAAAGAAAAACTGCGCACCAGTAGTTACCAGTTAGTTTTCTGTGAAACGCAAATTCTAGCGCAAACTAGAAAAAAAAAACATTGTGTAGACATTTTTCTAAACAAATCTATACTCATTGCTTTTAGAATAAATCTATAAGGTAATAAATGTGGAAAGAGTAAGGACAGTTAATGCTTTCAGATGTGATACTGAGTGGTTTTCAGAAACCTTCAGACCAACGTTTTAGTCATTAAAAGAGAATTCATTTAGTTTTGGCTGTTAGAATTTTGGGGGCTTGAATCAACCATTGAACATGTTTACCACATATCTCTACAGACCAATGCTGGTTTTATTGTTTGACAGGAGTGACCACAGTCCTGACTATGACCACCCTGATGATGGGAGCGCGGACGTCGCTGCCCAATGCCAACTGCTTCATCAAGGCCATCGACGTCTACTTGGGAATCTGCTTCAGCTTCATCTTTGGAGCGCTTATTGAGTACGCCGTGGCCCACTTCTGCACGCTAACTCATGCTGATGCTCACATGCTGATGGTGAGACTCTGCTGTATGTTTAAAAACTTTGTTGTTAATGTTCAAAATCATACAACACCGTCTACAGTTATTGGCACTAAACTTTTAATTTCACTTTTTGAAGCAGTGGTGAGAACGATATCTCACATTAAAAAATAATTGGGACAAAATGAAAATAGCAATAGCTTATGGCACCTTTGCTGTTTCTTTTTGCACAATCTTTCGACATCATCCAGACTGCTGGGTCGTCACTTGAACTCTTGTATCTTCAGCTCACCATCATCTCAGGCGGCTGAGATGATGGTGGAAAAATTGTAATTGGTAATTGGCCCAACTGAACAGCGATTTGCTCAGAAACTATCTTAATCTGACTTTACCGAAGCATTTAGGAAGCTCAGGAAACATTCGTTTTGTTGTATGTTTGAAAGGTTTAAAGACTTTTATACATCTTTACTGCGGTAATAAATGTGATTCTAGTCATTCTGTTTGCCATAATGATGATCATCTTTGTTGTAATAGTCATGTTTACCGCTTATCAAGTTTCTAATCCACCTGACCTTTGTCCTGCAGTACGGCCACCACATGTACGACATGGACGACGAAATGAACGGCATCATCACCACCATTTCCACTCACTCCAGCAGAGCCAAGAGACGCAAGGAGCCCGCCGTCACCTCGCCGCCGGCGCCTGCCTCGGCAGAACTCAGCGTCAGCCCCTCCAGTCCTTCAGGCAGTGAGCCCAAGCCTGAAGTGTCCCCTCCAGAACCCACCAACTGGTGCCTCACCACTCTTGCCACACTGCGCAAAATCCTCCGCTTTATAAGCTGCTGTCACATCGAGAACCCCCACCACATAGACAACTACTCCAGAGTCACCTTCCCCCTTTCTTTCGTCATTGTCAACCTGCTCTACTGGACATATTATCTGTACTTCTAGTATCGGCTTTAGAGCGGCAGTGTGTCTCTGAGAGTGTGAGGCAAAGAGTGTATGTAGGCAAGAAGTGTATTTTACTGTATGTATGTACAGAAAGCATTAACAAGGTGTGTTCTGAGATGGGTTTATACCGTTTCTATATTTGGTTTCATAAGCAAAGTAGCAAATTCAAATGAGACCATTGGTTTTATTTATTTATTTATTTATTTATTTATTTATTTAAAAATAGAACTGCAGCTTCATTTTGAATATCAAAACAGGTGCATTTCAATAAATTAGAATATAATTGATAGCTGAAATAGCAGTCCGGTGAAAAGTATCCCCATTTACAATATAGATGCTCAATAATTGGTTTCTGCTCTTTTGCATGAACTGCTGGTTCAGTGTGGCTCAGCGTGGCAGCTGGTTGCCTTCATCTGCTCCGATTGTTGGCTCTGGTGTCGTTTGTCTTCATAGGTTCTGTATTAGGATTAGGTTAGGGTAGTTTGCTCGAAATCTAAATGAGGATCTCCATATTGTTTGTTAACAAAGGGAAGCATAAAGTGCTCTAAATGTTGATTGTTGCGCTGACGTTAGGTTTGCTAAAACAAGGTGGAACAACACCGGCAGATGCTGTTTCTTCCAAAATTAGTGGGAATTTCCACAGTCAGTTTTATGAAGAGCTCCACTAAAAAAAGGCTGCACCTTTTTTCTACTTTACTTTTTTCCTTCCACACAACTTCCCAGTAATATACTAAGATACAGAACTCAACCAACTTGATAATAATGAATTTTTATTTCTTGCAAATTAGAAGTCTTTGCCTTGATTTTCAATGCTGATATTTGTAAATTATAGCATTTTTTTCTGTCATTGGTCTGATATAATATTCAAATTTCTGAGAAATTAAATTTGGAGTTTTCATTAGGTGTAATCAAAATGAATGGAAATGACACTATATTACATGCAGGTTTTTAATGATATTTTAATTTACTTGGATTCACCTGTTTACTTTCAATTCCTGCTTTTCTAAATAAATCAGTTATTTTGCTAAAACGAAACGGCCAGCTTTAATCAGAGAACATAAGGTCTGAACAGTTTTACCAATCCAAAAGTAAGAAAAGGCTACTGCTTTCCTTCTAGTTGGGATATATTCATTTTAAGATGGAGCTGTGATTAAAGGCTTTGTGACAGATTTCACAAGGGCTGTTAGGTGAGAGCAAATTCCCACAGCACTTTGATTTTCTGCTGTGATGGACTGATCATCGATATTTTATAACTTCATCTTCTGTTTCCTGCAACATTTAGGAGGAAGTAGAGAAAAAAACAAATGACAGTTGTGAGGTGAAAAAGACCCATCATGGAGTTTGTTAAAAAAAAGAAAAAAACTCTAAAACATTCTCCAAATGGAGGATCGCTCCTGAAGGAGCTGGAAAAATCTTTTCTCTGTAACTCTGTGAGTTATTTTTTTTGCTTGCATTTTTTGTTTTTTTATTGAGAATATGAACATATATAGTGGCCTTTAGTCATTTATAAACCAATTTTATCACATTAATCATCATACAACTCTGAAGCCCTCTGTATCCACTCCCTATTAAGAAATTTCACATTCTGAATTTTATGAATACAGTACATGTTATTAAATAACATGAAACATAAAAAGAAAGTGTAAGAAATGGTTCATCCTAAAATACCAGAGGTATAAGAGAAATTATGTGGCATAAATGGTGAATAAATGTGCCAAACTGAAAAGAAACAAACCCACTTCATATGCAGATGGTACAGGATTTGTCTGGATTTCCTTTGAGATTCTGTTTCTCATGATGCAGACCTCTCCAAAATGGAAAATCTTTTAAAAAGGAGGTGTCTCAAATATGTTTCCTCCCACTGTAAACATCAAACCACTTCTGAAGTAGTAGCTAATCATAAAAAATGCTTTTTTAGGGATATTTAATTATTGTCAACACTGCCTGCTCATGTGATGCCGTGGTAAATTACAATCTTGTCTCCTGAGACTCGCCTTAAATTGAACTAGATTTTCCCACTGAGGGGGAAAAGGAAACATTATTCTCTTTATAATCAATTCTGTGGTACGAAATAAACCTGATAAATCCAGAAAAACAAACTGTTATCACCATATCATAAACTCTGTATGTAGATAGTTAAGCTTTTGCTAATTCACGCTGTGGAGTCGATGCCCACAGAGCAGGAGTAACAGATCAGACATGTGGATTTGTAGGACTGCCACACTTCAAACTACAATCAGATACGTTATTTATGCAGTATTTCTCTCTGCGGCTTCAGCAATTGTTTCTCGCTGGGTTTTGTAAAAACATAAGGTAGTAGCCAGACTTTGTGGAATGGGAATGAAATGGCCAAAATAAACAAAGAGGACAAAAGCCTCTGTGCACTGTGAAAAACAAAAACAGAACAGCATGGCATTTCTTGGTTTTCATGATTCAACTTTTACAAAGAAGGGGGAAATGCCATTCCAGTGACTGCTAACATAACCATGATGGGGCAGCAAGTGGCTACAACATCTTTATTACATTTTAAAAGCCATAAAAAGCATTCTACGTGTAGCCAGTGATTGTGTTTTTGCAGCAACTTCACAGAAATAAACAATAGGAAACCATTGTGTCCACTGAACACATCAAGGTGTAATGGTCATAACAAACTACAGGACAAAAGTACACCCTTTGTCACTGTGTGCCCACAGTTGATGTGTTGCAAAGAGGGAAATGGGGAAACAGGACCTGAGTTTATAGTGGCCTTGTGACTGGGTCAGAGCATCCAGCATCCCTGTCTGCAGTGGTCAGTCTCTATTTAAAGTGGTCCAAGGCAGGAGAAGTTGTGACTCTGTGACAGGGTCATTCATGTACAGGCTGGCCGCTAGATAGACTGGATCTATCCAACAGAAAAGACACCGCTGACCAAATTACTGATTAATTTAATACCAGTTCTCAAAGAAGCAGGCAAAAATACACAGACCCTCATGGTGTCTCCTGTCCAGTGCTGAAATAACCAACAATCTGATGAATTAAATTATCTTTCATAATCCCTGAATGGCCCAGTGAGCCTCCGTTGGCCATCTGGGGAACACAAAGCACCACGAAGCGAAAAGAAGGCAAGTTACATTAGCATGATAATGACAATGTTCTGCTGCAAAACGTCTTGGTGGATGTTACTTTGACTTTGACCCATTGTTATACACCCATCTATGGAAGCAGTGCAGTTGTCTGAATGTACCTTCTCTGTTTGAGGAACACAGCAACATGTTTGAGGTGTTGACTTGGCCTTCAAACCTCCCAAATCTAAATCCTCTGGACTGACATGAATCCTTAAAGTTGCAGCCAAGAAGGGGGAACCAGTCCAGTATTTGGCTGGTGATCATAATGATATGCCTGATGTTGTTCTCTTTGAAAGAAGAACAATTTTATCATTCTGTTAGGGAGCATAAAATATGCTATTTTTTATTTTTTAACTTTATTTTTGTTTACTTGTGACATTTCTCTTTGGGCTTTCAGTTTTCCCTCTGACTAATCTGTAATGCGGTGACCTCCACCACATTATAATCTGGACAGCAGGTGCAAAAACATAACACACCCGATTTAACAATGCCTTGGTTTGTTTGCTCGCAGGAATTTGAGCCAAAGAAGATGCTTTCATTATTGTTAGTTTTCCCTTTAGTGTCAAATGCTTAAAGTGCTTTGCTAAAAAGAATCTACCATGATTGTTTCTGTAGTCACTAGAGAATACATAACAAACCGCATGTTGTAGGCGAGCAGATGAAAACACTCACACAACAGGATTCAGTTGAACTAAGGAGATGCATGTTTATTTCTTGCCGTTTACTCAGTATTACTGTGAAAAACTGAAGGTTGGTGAATTAAAACCACAGTTCATTTTTCAAGAACTCGTTTTGGGTTTGTCATGGAGAGCTAAACTGTCAATGTACAGTCAACGACCTGCTTTAGCTCCATGGTTTTATATCTGTTTCACTGACAAACATTTCAATTCTCTCTTCTGCCTGATGTTTGATGAAAAGTAGGATCTGTTTAGTTTGTATTTTCCTTTCTGCATGGTTTTAGGTGTACCTCTTTTCCTTCTACATTCTTTTATTTTGTCTAACGTACAGAATTAGTCACTGTAAAAAGCTAATTGTGAGGACTGGGTTCGTAGAGTGCTCATTGCCAAACACGAGAGTTAAAATTTAGAAAATTTAAATTTGGTCAAATTTTCCAGGCCCTCCCACCAAACTGTGAGCGACATCTTCTCTGTGGATGTTGGAAAACATTTGCTTTTTATATTTATTATCATTATTATTACTTTGCTAAGCTAGATAAGCTTAACATATGCATGTAAATGTGGAGCCAAAGAGCCACAGCACCAAGAACACCGATCCCTCGCCGCATCGGATCCAGTCATGTTTTAAAAACACACTGAATGAACGTAGTTTTGGACGGACACGATGCTGGAGGACATCTCTGGGACAGTGGAGGGATATATTTAAAGGAAAATGGAAAACAGAGACCTTTCATGCCCCAGAGGGGGGGATCTGTCAGTTATAACTGAGGGGACAACTTTACTTCACGGGACATTTTCTTGTCAAATGTATTTATACACAGTTGTAACATCCAGTTGCTTTATCTGCTGTAAATAAACAATACCACTATGCATGTTTATCTGGTGTATGAATGTGAATAATAGCAATAAAAAGGTTTAATGTGTTATTTGTTGATGCTTTGCCAATTTTGTTTGAAGGTGTTTAAGTAGCTTTCCATCATCCAGCAGCAGCGCTAAGAGCTGAAGAACCGACTCATCCTTCAAAAAAGATGGAGATGCAGCTTGTAATTTTAATAAAGGAACATTAAAAGACTGGTAATAAACATTACTGGTTTGTTAATTTTATCGGCGAGGAGATAAGAAAAGAAAATCTGCTATTGTGCACGTCGGTTTAGAAACAAATAAAAGCAGGATGGATATTTAGTTCAGATCCTGACGAGGTGAAAGAACGATGGTCAAACGAGTGATCGTGCCATCAGTGATACATTTTTTGTTGTTTTTCCTGAATATCGCTCAATTCCAAATGCAAAGTGAGGAAGTGTCAGTACATCCCATCCCATGCTAGGAGAGACAAACACTGCTGCTCGTCTCAAAGTAACCAGTAAACAGACCAAAAGGTGGAAAAGGTTTCTGCTCGCTGAGAGACGGAGAAAACTGAATATGTGAAAACGAGCAGCTGCCTCTGACCCTCAGTCCTCCTGTCCTGATTGGACGGTCGTAGTGCTGGAAGCAAATGAACAAGATGTGGTTCGTTAACTTCCTAATCATTCTCTCTCTTTCCTTCTTTTTCTTCTTCCTCAAAATAATGTTAGGTGTTAGAATATTAGGCTATGAAATCTGTTCTTAAAAACTATGAGAGATCCTTAATCTTGTGATTTAACTTTTAATCAGTTGAGATAATAATTTGAAACCTTGATTCACTTTTCATAAAACCTCCTCTTTATCTTTGTTTTATCATCTTTCAGGCCTTTTCTGTCAGAAAGTATTTGGACAAACAGATATTAAAAAAAATATAATCCTTGATTATACTATTAATTCCTCTTGTTCTGTCCTTATACACACATGAAGTGTCATTTCTTTTAGCAATACTAAATAAATCATAATTTCATGCGTTCACCGCCTAAAGCAGCTTGTTCTTGCAGGTTTGTGGGCAAGTTAGTTGGAAAGAGTAATTAGTTGCTAATTACTGATTACTTCCCCCAAGAAAATGATCTGGTTATTTTAATAATTATTAATTTTTTAAAGTAATTAGTTATTTAATTACTCAATTAAAAAAACAATGCACAACCTGAATATACATTTCTTTCTGCATATTCAATAATTTACAATATAATCAAATTAAACTGTCTCTTTTTAAAACTTGATTTGTTTCATTCTTTTAACTTTATGCACAGTGCATCACCAAAAATTATTCTTACACAACTTTATTAAATATTTACATCTATTCTCTATGTATTCTACTATATTTTAAGAAAATCATGTCTTTCTGACGATTCCACTGTTTAAAATAAAATAACTTTTGTGTTTAAACTCCTTCGTTCAAATAGATGTAAAATACAGCAATGAAATGAAATCATTTCAATCAAAGTCTCTCCTGAATGCAATCAGGATTTTTAACATTTACGTCTTTAACAAGGTAAATGACAATGACACATGTGATTGTCTTGAGACGCTCATATGCAAAATTACAGTTTCAAAATGCAATGTTTGCGGAGAGGTAACAGTAATATAACTACCTTTTACTTACTTGACTCATTACTTGAAAACTGTAATTAGGTTACAATAATGCAATTAATTTAAATTCAAATCAATGTGCATATTCACAAAAATGTAATGCCAAGGCACTTTACACGTGAAATATGTCCAATAATAATGAAGTCAGTACAAAAAAACTGACTCATAATCAGATTCATCCTGATTTACAATCAAATATAGCCAAATGATAAAGTTTCCCTGCTTACCATAATAAATATAAATGCTGCTCATGTTGATTTTATCTTTGCTGAATGCTTCGGAAGGTAATCAGGACAAACTGATTTCAGTCTCTGCTGTTTGAGCAGCAGAGTCCCAGTGGGAGGGTCTGTGTGGGTCTCAGTTCCCTGAAGGTTTGGAGCAGAAGAAGAGATGATCTAAGATCCTCAGACACACAAAAACACACTGAATTAGTTTTAATGGGAGAGCTGTGCAAGATGCTTTCATTTAAGGATATATCAGGTCACTTTGCTCTGCCAGGCAGCAGCAGATCGCAGATTCCTCCTTTTAATGATTTCATTACCCAGCTGTACCCAGAGGATAAACTAGAGAGGAAATTGCTTAAAAATAGAAAAAAAGGGTTTATGGGCCTCAGAAAAACTCTTGCATTACTCTTTTTATTCTTTATTCCTTGATTTGCCTTACCAAAATTTTAGCATATTTACAGCTAAGGCTTGATATTTACATAGACTAAAGATGACTTTTTATCTCATTGACATTAAAGGTCATATTTAGTTTTTCAAATACATGAGTATCCTCCTGAGCATTTTCACATCCAAACTTTGAAGTATGTGGATAGCAGCTTGTGTTTTGCTGATATAGAGATGGATTTATTTAATTAAAAAGATGTTATCATGAAAAAAAGCACATTCAGTGGAAATACTGAAGAAATATCTTCAGAAATCAGCAGAGTTTGGACACGACTGTGTCTTCTGACTGAAAAATGACTTACAACCAAATTTATTACAAAAGGGCTTAAGCACAATGAAGTCAATGTTCTGGACCTTAATCTCAGTTCCATAAAAAATTAGGACAAAGCTGTAAAAATGTTCCCTACAAACCTGCCTAGATATTATTTTACAACTTAATTCTGCTTTAAATGTCGTTAATCTTTCTCTGTGGCCTTTCTCTTGTATTTTTTGGTCTTCATGATGCTTTTTATTCACTAATGTCCTCAACAAATCTCATCAGAATTAACAGAAACAAATAATTGAAATAGCTCCCCTTTAATCAAAATGTTTCGCATTTTGAGTTAAATTGTTGAGATAAAACTAACTTTTTCATATTTTCTAATTTAATGACACTCACCTGTATGTTGCTGTTCATGTTGCCATATTATAGTGGTGATTTTGTTGCGTCACAAACCATTTAACAACAGCTCACAGTGATCCCTTCAAGGCAACAGCAGGTTCCTTTAAACCCCAGCGGGGCACTGACATGTGCTGCTCTGTGTTGCCACAAGATGGCAGTATGGAATCAAGGAAGCGCCGCTGAATACACTGCAGTGCAAAGAGCTGCACAGTGCGCCACATGTTGATCCACTGAGACACAGAGAAAACAAACAAAAACTGATGGCACTGATGATATTTTTGATATCTTGAAATGTAAAAACGGTTATTCTCTGTCTTGTGGTGAGACCCCAGAAAAAAAAAAATTCTTCCAGAACAGGAACGTTTAGTTTTTAATGTTACTTAGAAACTGTGGAGTACTGACTCATTACTTTTACACATTTAGAGCACACTTAGAAAGTCCAGATAATATTTATACTCATTTAGAAACCCAGAACAGGGATTAGAACTGGGGATCTGGAGAAACTACATTAGCAGCTACTTTTTAGACTCCTATTCTTCCAACCCAGAAATTGAATTAGACCAGGTGATATTTATTTATACTTATCTACCGACCCTGGATATGAGTATCTAGTTTATTTACTTTGGATCAACATTATTAGCTTTTTCTTCTTTTGCTCTTTCGTTTGGTTTGTTATGTTGTTTGTATTTCCTTTTAATTCCTGTAAAGCGCTTTGTATTGCCTTGTTGCTGAAAACGTGCTACATAAATAAAATTACCTTTACCTAACGTTGCAGGGACAGATGGGATTCTGAAGCCAATGTTGTGAATGCAAATCTAGTAAAAAATAAAAATAAAAATGAGAAGATTGTTTAAATTAGCTTATGTACTTAGGCTAAGCATTTTCTAAATGTTCTGTTACATGAAATTAAAGAGTAGCATTAACAGAGACTATATAAAAGAGCTACTGGCGTTATATAGAAGCATTAAGAATAATTCAAATTATGGATGTTCAGATTCGTAGTCAGATTAATGCAAACTATAAGGGTTTTTTTCTTTTCAGAAATCTTTGTTCAAATCTGAATTACAGTCATTAAATCTGAACTACAGTACTGTGCACTTTTACTAGACCCCTTTTTGGATTTGTTTAAAAGAAGAAGAAAAAAATCAGCCAGAACTGCTTGATGTCTCTTGATAACTCTTCAAAACAGGAAAGACTAGAGAGCATGTCATTTAAATGACATCAAGAGGGAGCTGTGGGGCATCAAGGACTCGCTAAATGTAGCAAAAAATACATTTGCAGTCATAGAAAACATGTAGGAAAATGTGTTATAAAAGAAAAGAGGAGGGAAATATAGAACCTTTTGGTTTTTACTCATGAGTAATACATGATGGTAGCAGCATTGGGGTTTGTTTGCTTTAACTGGCACCTTAACTAAAGTGGAGGGAATTAAACAAAAGACAAATAAAAAAAGTAGACTCCAGATATTACAACGTCCCAAAGCATCCATCCAAATGAACTGAAGAATGATGACCTGACCAGAGAATGAAAGTTTGCAATCTTGAGTTCAGACCTGAATCTCACCAACTCAATGGAGGGCAGTGAGCTTTAGATGCTCTCACAATCTGACAGATTTACAACAACAAGAAAGAACGGGCAAGTTTTACTATGTCAAGATGCTGTGCTGTCATAAAAATGGTTGAATTTTCTATATTACAAAAAATCCAACACATTAACAGCAATGTGCAGACTTTTTGCATCCACTGTCAATGCATCCAGCTGCTTTTTGGCAGTTTAATTGCTAAAAAATAGAGCTACGTTTACAGAATAGAAACTAAGCATCTGGAGACAAATTCACTAAATGCTCCTTACAAAGACAGATGTAGTTTAAAGGTTGAAATGAGTCATTTGACCCATTACCTTGTATATCAATACACATTTTATGAACAATACTATTAAAACGCTATCATAGGTGGCCAGTTTGCGTAAGATGTAGAATAATTAGTACAATCAAGACTTTTTGTTTTACACTGGAACAGAGAAAGAATGCAGTGAAAATCTCACACAGTATGATGTTTAATATAGGTTTACTATAAAATAAAACAGTATAGCTGCAAAGGTT